CAAGCCCTACCGCACCTCCACATCACCGCAACGATGCCCCGCATCCTGAACCCTAGGGCCCTGACCCCTACACTTTGGGGACCAAACGTCCGGTAAGAATCCTAAACCCCAAACCCCAAACCCCAACCCTAAACCCTAAACCCTAAACCCTAAACCGTTCTGGCCTCATAAATTCTTAATGGGGGCTACAGTAGTATAGGGTATGTTATCCCCCCAACTTTTCGGGCTCCTTTGGCCTGTCCACCGAAGGCAGCGCCTGGCAGCTTGCCAATGCTTCGCCACGCAGCTGCATGGGACTGAGTTGAGCCTCCGACTCAGGTCTTTCAAGGTAATGGTTGAGTGTAAGGCCCCCTTACTTCAACGAATTTATACCCCCAAGTGTTTCATGCTTGGAACCCAATGTCCAAAAAGTCATTGCCAACAATGCTGGTTTTGACACGTGTTCGGCCGTTGAAAAGTGCAAGGACGAATGTTCCAACCAGTAGCCTATGGTTTAGGGTTTAGGGTTTGGGGTTTAGGGTCTGAGTTCCAGGCCCAACCTTGCTTGTCAGTGGCAGTGTAGACCTGCTGGGCTCTGTTCAACTGCTTTGTCGGGCTTCATCAGGTGGCTTAGGGTTCAGGGTTTTTAGAAGTCGTGTGAAGTCGCAAAATCTCCCGGCTACCCTGGATCTGGTATGTCGATGGTAGACACACTTGGCATGGTGCCTAAATGGGCCCCCCCTTTATATACCCCTTATATGCCCTATAGAAATCAAGGGCCCATACTTCAGCATCCTTTATAGGAGGTTAGGGACCCTATGAGGGGCCCATGTACCTAACCTTTGATAGACTCAGACGTCGTGAGATGGTGACGGCCTAGGCCCTCACTAGCGTTGCGCCTTGGGAGATCTTTGCCCTTTGCAGGCTTCGCATAAAAGCCTGACTTAAAACCCCAAGGGTTTTTAGGGGGCAACCCATAACCCCAAAGTTTCGTGCCCGCCCCAACTCCCAGAAGATGCCAGCGCGGGGCACCTGCGCCCGCCCTTCGGATCACAGCTTCAGGGTCTCTGATCTGGAGGGATGCTGTGGACGTTAAATGGCTCGTTTTTTGTTTTCGGGGGGGGGGGGGGGGTCTCTGAAGTTCGACAGGGATCGTGGCCCCCCATTCCTAAACCTTAACCCCCGAGATCCCTTGTTATTCAAAGCATGCAGGAGGTGCACTGACCTGGCTGCTTTGGGGTTCAGGGCGTAGACGTAGAGTGCGCTTACTGGTGGCCTTGTGCAGCTTTTGTGGTCACGCGCATCGAACAAGAAACCTTGCTTGGTAGTGGTAGGGGCGAAAATTTGAGACGAGTACGGCCTTCCTCCCAAACGCTCGCTCAAGCTTTCTCGACCCTACAAGAAGTGGACCCCCCTTGGTATGCAAAGTATGGTTCAGGGACTGTTCTAAATGCTTCTGCAAAACATTCGAAAACGTTCCCCACCGCCCTGGTCTTGAACTTAGAAGAAAAGGTCCCCCAACCAGGGGGACCTCCTTAGTTGGTCATGTAAGGTTATAAGGACCCATGGAAAATGGGTGTAAGGATCCTAACTTATTCTAAGTTCCTGAACATACAAGAAGGGGCCCCCTCCTTGCAGTCTAGGCTGTCCAGGATCCTAGGGCGCTAAAAGATTCACCTCTAGATTCTCTGATTAGGGCTCTTTTTGGGGGTACCTAAGCAACAGGGGCAGCCTCATACTCGTACCCAAAAGGGACCACACTTTAGAGAAGTGACCATAAAGGGATGGGATTCGAAAACCCCAGAAAGGTCAAAAAAGGGTGCCCTACACAGTAGGGGCCCCACTTACTATACTAACCTTAGTTAAGGGCCCTTATAACCCCATTTTTAACTAGGGCGCCCTTACATGTACCACACTACGAGTACTATGGAGTTAACAATCCGGGACCCAGGATCAAGGCTGGGCACCCGGGCTGCGAGCAATGCCGTCGGAGACTGGGCGACGGCCGCCTCGCATGCTTTGAACGTGCCTGGAGGCTCAACTAGAGCCCTAACCCTAAACCCCAAACCCTAAAACCCCAACCAAACCCTAAAAACCAACCCTAAACCCCAAACCCTAAACCCTAACCCTAAACCCGAAACCGCCGAAATCCAACAGCGGCCTTTGCTGGGTTCACTCTTGTGTGGGAGGTTGGAAGTCGCAGGCTGAGCCTGGGTAACAGAATCCAGAGGCTGTAGGGTTTAGGGAGACGCCCGAACCTTGGGTGCTGAGGTCATAAGCCCCCAAAAAGGTGTAAACTTTCATTTTTATAGGGGTTTATAAGCCCCCCCCCCAAAAAAAAAAAAAAGTGTACACTTTCAGTTTTATAGGGGGTTATAGTAGCCCAAAAGTGTAAAGTGCACTCACCCGCTACTAAGGAATACATGTAAGGGCCCCCTCGTTATAAATACGGTCAGAAGGGCCTGGTTATAAGTGTACTATGTAGTTATAAACTCCCTTACTCCTTAACTAAGGTTAGTATAGTAAGGGGGCCCCTACTTGTAGGAAACACAAAGGCCACGAAGGCCGCCACCTCCCAGACGTCAGCGGCGAAGGCCTGGTGCAGCACGTGCGCGTGCTGCTGCACAGAGGCCTGTCTTTTTTGAGCCCTACAAAGAGAGGCCGCCTGAGTATGCATAGAGTTTAAAAGGCTTAAACAGGGTATATTTAGTGTTTAGGTTTTAGGGGGCCCCCTAGTTAAAAGGATGCTTTTCTAGAGTGTTATTACTTGCGAGAAGGGTTGGCTCTGGGTATCATCTTTGCATGCAGACTCAGACTCAGACTCAGGTGCAGGGGCGGGTTGCAACACAAAGTGTGTCAGCCAGGTTTCAGGTCCCCCGACATTCCCCCCTAACACCCAAATCCTAACCCGAAACCTGCTCGCTTCAACCCTCCCCGCAGTTCTACTCCCTTTGGTGCTTGCGCCAAACCCCCCAAAGCCTCACTGAGCCAGTTCGCAGTCTGCGATCTGTGCCACGTGACTCTGCGCTGCTACTGCTAGGAAAATTCGCAGGCATGGAGAACCATGACTTAAACTGATGTGTGCTGCAAGGGAGTTGTGGTGCCACTCTGACCAAAGATAGAACACCTAAGTCATAAACCTAAACCCTAAACCCTAAACCTCATGGCCATGGATTCAAGCAGGTAGCGAGGAGAGGCCCACAATTCCCAGATAGCCGAGACCAAGGCAATGGTGCCAACTTATGCGCGACAAATCTCAAGGATTGATCCTGTCATTATAGGCCCCTGCGACGGGTTAGGGTTTAGGTTTAGGGTTCAGGGTTCAGGGTTTAGGGTTCAGGGTTTAGGGTTTTAGGCTCTGTTGACTTGCGTTCCCCTGTAGCTTCAGGGGACAATGAAGGCCCACAAGCATCCATTCCTCAGGCCGGCTTAAAGATTTGTAATTACAGCCAGAAGTCGCCTGTGAGAGCCACTAATGTGTGGGAGAGTACAATAGGGCCGCCCCTTGTAGTAAGTAAGTTATAACGGGCCATAAGACCCTAAATTGGGTTATAAGGATCCTAATTGATTTAGAAGTCTCTTAAGTTTAGGCGAGTATGGGGCCCCTAGTGTTCTGTGTAGGAGAGTAGGCTGCCCAAAGCCTGCTCCCTTTTGCGCCAGTTCTGCCTCGGCCAAGACCATATGCTTACAAGGTTTGGGTGCCCAGGACCTAAGGAGGATGCCTGCCTGCTTTTTTTGTTTTAAGGTGGTTTTAGAAGCGACATACCCTCAGTCAGAAAAAACAAAGTACGGTCTTGGAGGGCATTTTTTTTCTCGACTTCCCTCGGTTTGGCGTCTACATTTCGGCAGCTTAGGATTTTACAGGGTGGGATATATCTCTATCTTGGGTTTCGGCCGGTCCACACTAACAGTCAATAACCCGTGGCCTTATAACACACAGGCAAAAATAGCACAGGAATCCCAGTCAATTTTAGCATTTACCGGGTGCTTCTTTTTGTGGGTCTGCTGGGTGGTGACTGTTAGTCACATAGCAGCAGAAATAGCACCAGAATAGCACAAACAATAGCACAAAATAGCACCAGAAATAGCACAGGAATAGCACAAAAAATAGCACCAGAAATAGCACAAACATTGCACCCAGAAATAGCACCAGGAATCACAGTCAATTTAGCAGCTTAGCATTTACCGGGTGCTGTTTTGTGGGTCTGCTGATGGTGATGTTAGTCACATAGCACCAGCAAGCACCAAGCTTAGCATTTACCGGGTGCTGTTTTTTGTGGGTCTGCTGATGGTAATTGTTAGTCACATAGCACCAGCAACAGCACCAGAAATAGCACCAGAAATAGCACAAACAATAGCACAAAAAATAGCACCAGAAATAGCACAAACAATAGCACAAAAAATAGCACCAGAAATAGCACCAGGAATAGCACAAAAAAATGCACCAGAAATAGCACCAGACATAGCACCAGGAATAGCACAAAAAAATGCACCAGAAATAGCACCAGAAATAGCACCAGGAATAGCACCAGGAATAGCAGGAATCTCAGTCAATTTTTTGGCATTTACCGGGAGCTTTTATTTGTGGGTCTGCTGGTGGTGACTGTTAGTGTGGACCGGCCGAACCCAATCTCTATCCGTAGATCTCATAGTAGCGTGGAACTCATGTGCGTGTGTTGAGGCACAGGTTGCAGGACTATCCTTTTCAGCGCGCCACAAAGGTGTAGGGTTGTGCTGAAAAGGGTGTGTGTGCCATGAAGGCCTCCAGAGCCAAGGCAAAAACGGTACCTCAAACTCAAAACCCAAAACCCTAGTCATGCGTACCAGCCCCAGCGTTCATCATGCCTCTTGATGTGTATCCCTCTCGCGTCCTCGCGAGCCAAGCGGTTATTTGGGTCAAGGGTTTGCGCCCTGCCTTAGATCCTAAACCTTACACCAGAAATCCTTCACCCTCAACCCTAAATCCTAAACCCTAGGCCCTCTGTTAAGTTCGCATCCTCACTCGTGGGCCCAAGCGTCCCTCACCGTGCCGCCGCGCTCTCGGGGTGGAGAGGGCCACCCACGGCGTAGGCGCCCGAAGGCACATCCTGGGTTTGGGATTTAGGGTTTGTAGGGTTTGGAGGCAAAGTGCCACGCATCATGCCTCCACCTACGCCCTGGTCAGCTGTGCCGCGGTGAACAAAATCGGAATGTTGAACAAAGAAAGGGACTTTTTGCAGACCCCCGTAACCCCGAAATGTACCATCATCCCTGAGCATAGGAGCCACTGTTAAAACGGGAGTCTGAGGCCCAAACACATGTTGCTGCTTCACACTAAACCCTAAATACTCAAACCCCCCCCCAAACCCCCAACCCCCTGGTTTAGGGTTTAGGGTTTAGGGTTTAAGGTTTAGGGTTTAGGGTAAACCCTAAACCCCAAACCCCCACCCCCCCCCCCCCCCCAAAAAAAAAAAAAAAAACAAACAAACCCCTGGTTGACTGCCCAAGCTTCGGGGTGTGGCTGGGCAGAGTACTGAACGAACTCGGGGCCGGCCATCTTTGTGCCGTCGTTGGTCCTTTGGCCGTGCAACAAAGGGCTCCCACCCGGTTTAGGGTTTAGGGTTTAGGGTTTAGGGTTCAGGGTTCAGGGTTCAGGGTTTAGGGTTCAGGGTTCAGAGTTATAAGGACCCTAGATTATAAGTTCAAAGGGCACCCCCCCCTAAGTTATACGTAGAGTTCTAAGGGCCCTCAGTTGTAAGGGTTTATGGTCTGAGGGATTATAGTCGTAGGGGAGATACAAGAAGTGTAAGCAGAGTTCTAAAAAGAGTTATAAGGACAGGATAAAAGCATATTAACCTGGGTTAGCGGTCCCTTACCTGTAGGTAGTCTGGTCAGGGGACCCCTCCTTGGAGGGACTGTTGGGACTTGCGGTATGGCTTAGGGTCAAGAGTTCATAGCTTAGGGAGGAAGGGTTTAGGTTTAGGGATTGGGGAGAACAGGGAGGTTTTTGGGGCTTGGGGAGAAGGGGAGAATTAGGGTTTAGGGCGTGGGGAATTAGGGTTTTGGGGTTTATAGAGCTTAGGGAAAATTAAGGTTTAGGGTTGTGACTCTCGCACTTAGGGCTCAGAGAGAATTACATGTTAGGTTTTAGGGTTGGGGAAAACAGCAACGCAAAATAACACTACTGATAACATAGGAATAGAAATACTGGACCCAGGAGTGACCTAGGGATAAAACGGGTGCCTTTCTTGGCATAAAGGGGCATATGAGGGATCCTGATCCCTAAGCAAAGAGGGCCTACTCTGGGTCCCAGTAGCCCTAAACCCTAAACCCTAAATAACCCTAATCATCCTAACAACCCCGCCATACACCCAATCGCGGCCAACGCGCAGCACCGCAACGGAGGCCATGTTGCCCGCTTTGTCCACCTGTATAGGCTCTGCTCTGCGAAGGACGCGCTACATACGTTTTGCGGTTTTTTCGGGTTTATGGTTTAGAGTTTAGGGTGCTAGGGCGCTTGGGTCGTACAAGGAGCCCCCCCCCCCCCGAGTTATAAGTAGAGTTATAAGCACCCTAAAAGAAGTGTTATGTAAACCGAACTTAGCTTTGAAGTCCCTTACCTATAGTCCGCAGAGTAAGGGGCACCATCTCTGTAGGCTCTGCTCAAGGGGCGCACTACATGCGTGTGCGGTTTAGAGTTTAGGGTTTAGGGTGCTAGGGTCTTCGGGTTTCGGGACGCAGGGATTTAGGGTTTTGCTGGTTCCAGGGTTTGGGGCTTCAGAGATGTGTTCGATGGTTCCAGGCTTAGGGATTTCAGGGAATGATGTTTGGGGTTTTCGAGTAGGGGCCCCTTGGTTATAAGTAGAGTTATAAGGGTCCTAAACTGGGGTTATACGTAGAAGAACTTATTTTTCAAGCCCCGTATCTAAAAGTTCGTACACGATAGCCTTACCAATAGGGATGAGTTGAGGGTTTTGGTTGCAGTGGGTTTGAGGCCTACCTGGACCCGCCAAGGCTTAGGCTTCAGGTTTAGGGGGTTTGGGTTGCCCGGTACTGAACCTATGGGATTCAAAAGGCAGCCCTTTGCTGTGTCGTGTGGAAATGGAAGTTTAAGCCCGCCAGTAAAGAAGGTTCCCAACGAATGCGTGCGCTACTGGGCCTTCGACAAACAACCGATCTAATCCCTGGACGCTGAAGCTCGAAACACCTTGCAAGTCTTGCCGGGCCACGTAGTTTGGTGCTGAGAACACGGTGATGAGAGGGTAGGCGCCCTCGTGATCGAATCGGTAGCCCTGTGCCTGGACATGCAAACTGCCCGGCGCTTGAGGTGAAGATGTTGCTGAAACCCCTGAACCCTAAACCCTAACCCTAAACCCTAAACCCTAAACAACTAACCCTAAACCCTAAACCCTAAACGCTAATCCCTAAACCCTAACCCTAAACACCTAAACGTTACGAACCTTACTTCAGAATCCTGAGGCTTGCCATTTGGACCCACCAAAGGCCCATGAAAGCACTCCTAAAACCTCTAGCCCTAAAGCCTAATTGGACCCATTTGGTCACAAGGGTTTAGGGTTTCGGGTTAAGGGTTTAGGGTTTGGGTCTTTAAACGCTAAGAAGCTGCCCTGATTCAACACTGTAAGCCCTGTCGGACCCTACAAACCCTCTTATAAACCCTCTCCACACCGTATAAACCGAACCCTAAACCCTAAACCCTAAACCCTAAACCCTAAACCCTAAACCCTAAACCCTAAACCCTAAACCCTAAACCCTAAACCCTAAACCCTAACCGAAAACCCAAAACCCGAACCACTGACAGGACCTGCCTTGACCTCGTGGGACCGAAGTGTCATCCTGAGCTGATGCTTGGTCTGGGTTTAGGGTTTAGGGTTTAGGGTTTAGGGTTTAGGGTTTGGGGTTTAGGGTTTAGGGTTTAGGGTTTGGGGTTTAGGGTTTAGGCTTTAGGGTTTAGGGGTTAGGGTTAGGGTTTAGGGTTTAGAGTCTAGGGTTCAAGGCTGAGGGTCAAGAGCAGGCTTTTAGGGTTTAGGGGCTTCTATGGTTAGGGTTCAGGGTTCAGGGTGCAAGGTTTAAGGTTCAGGGTCTACAGTAGACTTTCAAGTCGGCTTTAGGGGCTTTGGGGTTTGGGTATAGGGTTTAGGGTTTAGGTTAAGGGTTCAGGGTTGGGGCAGAGGGTTTAGCAACTTGGTGTCTCGGCGTTTCATGTTTTTCGCTTGCGTAGGATCTCACTGTTCATTTGGTTTTTCCTGCTCGCACATGCAGCCGAAAGAGTAGCCGCAGAGAGTCGACTGGTGGTACTGCATTTGTACCCCACTTCCGGCAGATGTTTCGTGTTTCGTCCATCCGGGCAGACCACGGGAAAAAAAGGGGTTAGGGATCATCGTGCTATATAGGGTATGTGATCCCAATTTGGTTCCCAAGGCTTTTCAAAGTCTTGCAACAACGACAACCACAAATCCAGAGGCTTGCTTGTCCTTGGGAAGCCGCAGTTTCCATGAAAGATCAACCGAGCCCCGAATCTCCAACTAAATCCAAACCCAAAAACACAAAACCCTAGGGTTTATAATCCCCAAATTTTCATTCTTGCACGCCAAACCCTCACACTAAATCGAATTTTACAGAACCTCCCTCGTGCAGCCATAAGTCTTCAGGCCGTTGAACTCCATGAAGTTCCGGGAAACATCCGGGCCAAACCTTGGGCAGAACGGAAGCCCGCGATCAAGTCACCGTATTCGCTTCGGGTTTAGGACTAACGCATTGTAACTACATCCTCATTGCTGGACCCAAGAGTAACCTCGGCATAACACAGGGGTGCCCTTTATGGTTTAACAAGGAGATCTTGATGGAATCGAAGCCCCCCCCCAACAAAAAAAAAAGGAATCAGGGTCTACTCTGGGCCCGAGATGGTGATTGCTCTTGCTAGTCAACTCTCGTGAAGTATCATTTTTGTTTGTTGTAGTTGGCACTGTCATTATCATCATGTTTTTGGTTATCAACTTAAGTTATCAACGTCTCAGGGAGCTTCAGGTCGAAAGATGACCCGGAAGTCGTCGTCCACGTCTACGAGCTTCAGCGCAGCCAGCTGTGGCAGTTTTGCAACTCTGCGCAAGGCTCAGGGCTTATGTTCAGCCACAAACTCTGGACTAAACTTCTCTAATTCCTGCAACCCCAAACCCTACAAATTGCAGGTTGTTCAAGTTAGTCTCCAATATACTTGCAGGGCACAAGCCCCCCGACATAGTAGCTAGCTGCCCGGGTAAGCCAACCCTAAACCCTAAAGCCTAAACCTGAACCCTAAACCCTAAACCCTAAACCGTAAATCCTACACCCTACACCCTACACCCTAAACCCTAAACCCTAAACCTAGAACAACTTCGGCCGCGCGGCAGGTAGATGCCGGAGGACATGCGGCCCGAGGGGCCATAGCCGTCCTTTCCCTTGGGGTCGGACCAAAGAAGATCCTGACTTGCAGTGTAGGGTTTAGGGTTTAGGGTTTAGGGTTTAGGGTTTAGGGTTTAGGGTTTAGGGTTTAGGGTTTAGGGTTTAGGGTTTAGGGTTTAGGATTTAGGATTTAGGGTTTAAGGTTTAGGGTTTAGGGTTTAGGGTTTAGGGTTTAGGGTTTAGGGTCCTGACTTGCAGAAGGCTGCTGGCCGGTCAGCTTTATGTCCGTTTGAAGGCTTACATCCCAACCTACACTCCTTTAGCTTGGGATGTTCCCCGCCCTCAAGGGTTTAGGGTTTAGGGTTTAGGGTTTAGGGGGTACTAGAACCCCTACTAAGGACTGCTAGTAGAAGGGGGGAACGTCACGACCTACACTCCTTTGCCCTTCATGGAAGGACTAAAGGACATATAGGGGGTATTTGGGCGACATTTTGTGGCTACGTAGGGGGTTTTTGGGGAAATCGGATTAAGGGTCTCTTCCCCGGGGTCCCTCCTGATGCCCCTTACATGAAGGTGCCTTTAGGGTTTAGGGTTTAGGGTTTAGGGCTTAGGGGAAGGTGCTTCTTGCAGTCCGAAGGAGCCACCATCAGGGGATTCTCATCCGGGTTGGGCTCCATGAAGCGGTTGGAGTTCTCAATTTCCTGAGGGGATTTTGTTCCATCGTGTTGAGGGCCCTTTTTTGAAACCGGACTTGATGACTGCCAGCAGAAAACGTGTTGAGGGCCCTAAACCCTCAACCCTGAACCCGAGTTTCGGGCTCAGGCTGTGAGAGTTAGTTGCCATGCCATGGCTCGGAGAGGCTAATCTGGATCTGACGGCCATCGAAGCCTGACATGCCGGCGGGGACTATGCCCGAAGGGTTTAGGGTTTAGGGTTTAGGGTTTAGGGGTTTAGGGGTTTAGATCTGAATATCCCTGCGTCCAACAACTTATAAGCCCATGTACCCCAACCCATCGAAGCCCTACCCTAAACCTCAAAAACTCTTCGACTCTTTTCGAACCTGAGCCGTTTTTCGCAACTCTATACCCCCAAACCCCTACAACGGGCTTTGACCAATGGCAGGAGTTCCAAAACCCTTTGTTAGGGAGCCCTAAACCCTATACGAACAGTCCTCAGTAGGGATTCCCTATTCTAATCCCCCCTAAACCCTAAACCCTGAACCCCATTACGGACTGGTAGTATAAGGTTTAGGGTTTAGGGTTTAGGGTTTATTTAGGGTTTAGGATTTAGGGGTTAGGGAACATCCCAAAGCTCCTCAGCTCGCTTGGAACCAAGCCGAAACTGGTCTGGCAGGCAACCTGACCTTCGCCACGGGATGCTCCCCCTTATACTAACAGCTCCTCAGTAGGGATTCTCGTACCCCCGATTAAAGTAATTCCTATATATCAAGGACTGATAGTACAAGAGGGGAACATCCCAACCTTCGCCCGACAAAAAGCGCAAAAACACCAAAGCTACACCAGAGAAAACCCGACAGCCCGGCCCTCAACCCTTTGTTTAGAGTAGGCTCTTTGAGGGAAAGCCCCAAACCCTAAACTCCTAAACCCCAAACCGTAAAACCGTAAAACCGTAAACCGTAAACCCTAAACCCTAAACCCTAAACCCTAAACCCTAAACCCTAAACCCTAAACCCTAAACCCTACACCCCAACAATGAAGCCGGCAGGGCTGATCTGGTTGTCCATGCCCTTCCACCAGACTCGGGGATCCGGGCCCGGGATGCCGCCATGCACCACGAAGACCTTCCCGAAGAGGGTTTTAGGGTTTAAGGTTTAGGGTTTAGGGCTTAAAGTTTAGGGTTTGGGGTCTAGGGTTTAGGTTTAGGGTTTAGGGTTTAGGGTTTAGGGTTTACGGTTTAGGGTTTAGGGTTTAGGGTTTAGGATTTAGGGTTTAGGGGTTGGGCTCCAGGTCAACCCGCCGATGACCATTGGGTCGCCTCTAGGGTTTCGGGATTGAGGGTAGAGGGTTTAGGGGTAGAGGGTTTAGGGTTTAGGGTTTAGGGTTTAGGGTTTAGGGTTTAGGGTTTAGGGTCTAGGGTTTGGGGTCTAGGCTTTAAGGTTGGGGTGTAGGGATGGGAATTTGGGGTGTAGGATTCAGGGTTGACTACTCGGCGGCCGCAATTTAGGGCAATCCCCCCCCCCCCCCCCCAGCCCTTCCATGTCGGGAGGATCGAACAGCAAAAGCGAGTGCTTCAGAGTAGGGCTTAGGGTTTAGGATGTCGGGCTACAGGAAAACCAAACCCTCAATCATGACACAACAATAGCACAAAAGACAAGCGGGTGCTAGTGGGGACCCCCCACAGTCGGATTACCTGAGCCGCAATTGAGTTGTAGTTCCTGTTGTGTGGGCTTCTGCGCTGGCACCATACCTGAAAACTGAACCCTGAACCCTAAGCCCTGAACCCTAAGTAGGGCCTCGTCATTGATGACGTGGCACAAAGGGGTGGCCCTGAAGATTTCCGCAAAGAGGTCAATCATGCGCTTCCTGAGCAAGCACTTCCGACACTCCGAGGGACCTCTATCTGGTGTTTTCAGGGGTTCTCAGTAAACCCTAAACCCTAAACAATAAACCCTATAGTACTGATAGTAACCTAGTGATCAGGCCCTGGAAGCATAGGGAAAGTTTGAGGGCTTGAGGCTTAGGGCCTATCGGCTCAATCGGGCTTCAAAGAGGCTGAAAATCCCGAACAAGTTCGCAAGAAGCCGCAAGAAAGAAGCCTTATAAAGAGAAACCCTGAAGAATCCTGCTAAAAGAGCCCCTGAATACCCTTAAGCCCTTTTGCATCCAGGTCTCTTGCAGCCAGCCCTAAACCCTAAATCCTAAGCCCTAAACCCTAATACCCCGAAAGATGTGGAGGGCCGGCAAGGAGCTCATATTTCACCTCCAGCTCCCCGAAGAATCCGTAGAAGTGGTTGGCCATCTCCGCCTGACGCCCAGTGTGAGCGTTTAGGGACCAAGGGTGTGCATTGAGGGTTTAGGGTTACCTCCATAAAGTTGGAACATGGTTTTTAAGGACGATTCTTTCCGGGATTCCTTAATTCTTATACACTCGGGCCCCAAAGTCCCTCATAGCAAGAACTTTCAGGCCCAAGTATTCCCCGTTTAGGTACATGGACCCTTAAAGGGCTCTTGTTCCTATTCGGGTATATGAACAATAATTATGGACCATAAGCCTTTCGCGGGCTCATTCAGTTCCAAGGTTAGGGCTAAACCTGAAGGACCAGGCGCCCATGTAGTGTATACTGGGTACTTAAGCCTGCTATATAGGAACCCCGTGAAGGCCCCAAGTATGCAAGTAAATAGCATACAGGTACATGGACCCGTCGGATGAGGGTTGAGGAAGCGGCAAAGTGCCCGGGTCGCTACACATACACCAACATGACGACATTGTCAACATTTTAGGGCTTCAGGGGCGTTCATTCCGCGC